GCTAATGGTTATATTTTTATTGCCTCACTTATTAGTTGAATTGCTGTTGGATTATTAAGTGCTACACACTGAAATCTCAGCTGTCACTTGAGACAGAGTACAATTTTGTGGTTTCAGTTATGTGTTATTTTGTATAATTGTTTATCTATTGGATGTTAGATGCTCTATGCTCCAGATAGGAGCAATAGTGAGATGTAAGGATCTTCCATGAACGAATAAACAAATCATAACATCTCACCTGTCTTGCCAAAAGGCATAATCACCTATACTACACTGATATTAAATTCATGTATTAAGAAGTAAACAGAACACAACAAAATGTCAATATTGCTGTTTCAGATCAAAACCAAAGAAAAAGTAAACATTGTACTCCAAGCATTGTATTTCAGCCCTGCTATGCCCCGTTCTATTCCCTGCAGCCCCCCATTCTGCCTTCTACCGGGTCCCAAAGCACCCACGTGTTGCCAATCATGTGTCAGTTGGATGCGCCTAAAATGATTGCCACCAGTTTTCCCTACAAGTCACTCATTTGCAACAGTAATCCTATACTTGGAATTATGAGGCTTGTAGGTGCATTTAGAATGGCACTCTCAGCACTGTTAGTCCTTTTCCTTTCTTGCAAATTGTGTACTATATTTCTGCACATTAGGCAATCTAGCTCCACCTTGTAGGATGTTCAACAATTTTTCTGTTTGATTGTATGCTGTTCATATTTCATATTCAGTAAACCAACCCTGTGTGATAATGTTGTGGCCACTGTGTCATGAGACAAAGATTCTTGAGAGCAGAAGAAGCAGTAAGGCCTACAAAATCATTCAAGCCCAAGCCTGCTAACTGTTAACAGCAAACTGCTAAGTCACTGTGACTCGTGACTCATTCTCCCTATAAAAGTAGCCAGTCTCACTATGGGCCTCCATCAGAGAGCTGTATGGATTGTGTATGGAGTAGTCTGTGGAATGGTGCTGTTGTTGCTGCTGCTGTGTAAAGCTAAGGCAGACAGAGTGGCTCCAGGACTCTAGTAAATCACCAACTAAGACTGTGCCTCTGTGAAGAGGCAGATAGCAGCTATGAGCACTCTGTGTATGCGCTTTAACTATCCTGTTTATGAACAAGTTTATTTTCTTCAGTAAAGTTTTAATTTGTTTATGAAGAAGACTCTGCGTGATTAATTTACCGCTGTGTGACACACTGAACAGAAAAGAAATCATTTAGAAGAAAATTATGCCCAGAAGTAACACTCAGTGCACACCTATGTATCCTGTGTATTCTGATTACACAAAGATCTGCATTTTTACATTTATTTATTTTTTAATAAAAGCTTTGCTTGTGAGGCTTCAAATTAAAATTGGGTAACTGAATGAACATAGTACTGTTTGGAATGCAGCTGTATCTCTGTGAAGATAATTTTGCACTAGTCTTCCAGCTCTTCCTTGTAATAAGTGTTGTTGTTTCTCCTTTGTAAATATGGTCTTCAGTTGAGTGGCTTTGCAAAATAAAGACAGATGGCAGTGGATTATCTCTAACACTTCTTTTGCAGCAATGCAGTCATTACAGATCTTTCTAATGCGCTCACTACTGCCTTGTCCAACAGAATTTTTTATAACTCAATCACCAGCATTTAGGGAGTAGCAAACTCTATGCAAATTGTGATTTATGAGTTTTCAAAATGGCAAGGACACCACACGCTTTCCCGCAGAAGTTAGGCTCCTACACTGGTTCCAGATGCATATGTAGCCCTCTCCAGGCATCATCTAAATGTGTTAACTGAACATGTAAGGGGGGTAGTTGGGAGGAGCATGCTAGCTCCAGGCCCACATCATTATTCTCATTGCCCTTCACAAGTTGGAGGGCAACAGTCTGAAGTCGGGAGACCCCTGAACTTATGTAGCTAACCAGCACTTTTTAGAACTTTGCCAGGGAAAATGATAACAGTGGGTGCCACACTCATCTCTGCTAACCTCCTTGTGTGCTTAGTTAATACATTTAGAGAACACCTGGAGAGCGCTTAAAGGACATGTTGTTGTTGTTGTTGTTATCAGTTTTATTATTTATACTCTGCCCATCTGGCTGGGTTTCCCCAGCCACTCTGGGTGGCTCCCAACAAAATATTAAAAAGACGATAAAACATCAAACATTAGTCATTGTTGGGCTTTCACTGTTTGATGGAAATTTAGTTGTTGTTTTTTCCCTAGCTTTCGGTGTCTACAGTTAGACTGTGTTTGAACCTTGAGCATCCTTGGTTTTATAGCAATTGTTTTGCATGCATGGTTTTATTATTGCTATTTTAATTGTGTTGTGTGAGTTGTAATGATGTGGTTTATCTTTTTTTTATGTAAACCACTCTGTGGACATTGGGTGATTAGAATCAATATACTAGGAAAGAGGGCACAGGGGCCTCCAACTCCTTTTACTTCATTTGGTGATCTTACCCTAAAGTTGTTTTATTTTTGCTGAAAAGGGTTTCAGGAAATCAAACACATAACTAAGAAGAAAATTTTGCCTGACCCTAAGTCCACTCTCCATTCTCTTTTTGATCCCGTCTTTTTAACATTGTTCTATAAAGACTTAGTGATATACAGTATCTTATTGTAGCAACTGGTCTGACAATTGCTAAGCACTGGAAAACTGTGGTCGGAGACTTGTTGGAATGAACTACCTAAATATGGACCTGGGCATTAATGGGAAACTTGACTCATGAGAAATGAACATTCAACTGACAAGTTCTATACCAAGCTCTTTCAAGTTTTATGACATATGCTACAGCAAAAGATCATGGATTGCATCCACCGGGGATGCATAGACACATGTGGGAAAGCATTTTGGGATGGGATGGATTACATAATGCTCACTGGTGCAACCAAGGAGAGGGTGAAGAGGGAGAGTTGGGGATTTGTTTTTCCTTTTCTTGTTCTGCACCTATAAAACTAATATTATTAAATAAATAATATTAATAATATTTGCAAGACAGGAGTGCCTGGCGTGCTCTGGTCCATGGGGTCATGAAGAGTTGGACACGACTAAACAACAACAATTTGCAAATGGATGCATGCCCAAAGTGATCTGAAGCCACCCCCATTCTTACTCTCCTCCCTCCTTGTTTCATGCATTTCACCTCCTCCCCAGCCTGGGTTGCTTCCAGTATCAGAACAGTGTTGGGGAGAAAGTCCCTTTAATACAGAGTTGGGGCGCTGCATTATTTGCATTTCTCATTCCTCTGTTTCTTCATGCACCTTTTGAACCGTCAGTGTGGGCACATTTCTCCCTATTGCATGCCACTTCTGCTGCCAGGATTCAGTCTTCATAATTGGATATTCTGCTTTCCCTGATTTGAACCTCTTGCTTATTGATTTGATTAATTGCATTTCTATGCCACTTTCCATTCAAAATAAGCCGAAGGGGCCTGCAAGCAATAAACAACAACAACAAAACAAAAAACACCATAGTTACAGCACAGCTTATATAATTAGTAGGTCATTAATAAAACAACTATAAATAATTCTAACCTATTTTAAAAATACAGCATCTAAAAAGTGAGCTAAGCATTATTAAACTCACCACTACCACCAAGAATAGTCCAATAATTATTCTCTCCACTCACTTCATAAAAATACATGGCCAGCATACAAGAGGACTATGATCCAACAGAAATGCCTACAAAGAGATCTGTAGTGTAACAAGCATCCAAATCATATAGATGCATGGGCAGCAGCCCTACTCCCAGCCAAGCTGCTGTCCCTTAAACTCAAGCTCTCATCTAGAGACTGGGATAAACTCTACACCTCTTCCTCTGGGACTTCACTCTCACTGAAATGAATTCTCTTCCAGGCCCCACAAACAGTAGCAATATAAAACAACCAACGAAGTTGGTGATATTCCGCAAATGCAATTCTGGCTCTAAACGCAGCATAAGGAGTCTCTATAGTATACTGTATTTTAAAATGGGGTTTCAGAGTTTTTAGGGGTTTTTGAATGTTTTATATAGATTTTCAATTTCATTGTTCTGTATGGGACAATGACAATAAAGATATTGTATATCAATATTCTTGTGTGGCCTCATTGTCCAACAGTTATTACCCCCGTGTAGGATAGCTCTATCTACCTATTTAGAAAATGTCCCAATTGCTTTAGAATCTCAAAGTGATGTACAGAAAATCAAAATCAAATACAATAAACCAGTGTTTCAAAGCATAATACAAAGTAGAGATCTTGTAGCATATGAAAGAACCTCAAAGCCATGGACAAAATATAGATCGAATATGGAATAAACAAAAGCTCAAGTTGATATAGAATATGAAAATCAAATATAGTATGTATAAAAGAATCTGAAAACTGCATGCAAAGTGTAGGTCAAAATACAATACCAAAAAATCAAACAATATACCAAGCAGAACTCAAAGACAATAAATAAATACATCTCAAAACAGAATACGAAAGAAAAATCAAATAGAGTACGAAATATGAATAATCAAATAAACCATTTTTAAACCGGTAATGATTGGAAAATCCTAATCATTCTGTCAAGCAAAGACAGCTGACCAGATAGCAACTTATACAGCCTTGGAATTAAAGTAAAGATAAATCAATAATGTCGTCTCCTTGCCTCATCCCCAAAGGCAGCTCTGTGTCGATAAAATTCTTGCTCCAAACAGCAATAAGCAACTTTATCTCACCAATATTCCAGCTGCTCAGGCTCTTTCCCTGAGCTATAAACTCCCATTCCCAACCACCCATCAGACCAACTACTATAACCTTCGTACCTTCCAAAACAAACAGAAAACTGAGCAGGGAAGAAGAGAAGAAAGGAAGAGGAAAGGGTGGGAACCCAAAATAGAAAGGGGAAGGAAAGAGAAAGAGAAGGTTAAAAAAAATAATAATAATCTACTACTGAGAGTTAGGAACTTAGGAAGCGGCCTTATACCAGGTCAGACCATTAGTCCAACTAGCTCAGTACTGTTGGCAGCTCGCCAGGATTTCAGAGAGGAGTCTCTCCCAACCCTAACTGGACATGTTAGGGATTGAACCAGGAAACTTCTGCTTGCAAGGCAGACACTCTGCCACTGAGCTATGACCCTTCAAACAGCAGCACCCTTTAAATAAGTCTATGGGCCAGGTCTTTCACATTACCCACAGCTGGTTTCAGTTCTCTCCCTCCAAGATCAACCAAGACAAAGAAATAGCCCAGGTCAGCAGGGTAGCTAAGGAATAGGCAGGCAGATGGATTTAACAGCTTATCTACCATTCCCAAACTCCTACCCCAGTGAAGCCCTGAATTCCAGTCAGAATTCTTATCTTCCTAAGACTCTCATGGTCATGATGGCTCTGCTCCAGGCGTACATCTTCTTATAATCTATACTAAGTAAGTTAAGGGTAGCCAAATAAAATCTAATGCTAAATAATGAGTTGTAGTTCAACAACATCTGGAGGTCACCATGTTACCAACCAAAGTTGCAGACCTTATCCTGTTTAAATATTGTTATATTATGTTCCCCTAATGTAGCAATCCCCTCCCTTTGCAAATCATCCTGGAATGCCATACAGAAAGATTTAACACATCTGTTGATAACTAGCATGGAATCTTGAGGAAACACGTCTCATAGAATACTAGTATAGCACATCAGAACTTCATTTTGCCACACATTTAGCTATATGAAATGCTCAGGCGAGAGCTCATACTCAGAATAACCTCCAAATGTCAGCTCCATCCGTCACCCAACCCCTGTGGCTGCATCATCGCCATCATCCTATGCCAATGAGTTAAGTTCCATTTTCACATGCAAGTTTGTCACTTCAGGAGATGTGTCAGTGTATTTATCACACTGCGTAGGCAGAGGGTAACCTTGGCATCCCTCTTTTCAATCACATTCATAGCCTTGTGAATATTTGCCTGAATCAGTGTGATGGATTCAAAAAGCCGAGTCCTGCTTGTATGCAGAATGGCATTTCATTTCTATGACGGCAAGTTTCCATTACTGTTATTATATCTGATCCAAGTTGTTTATTCATTCCTGTTGTTTACCCCAAGGTCAGACTCCAATGGCTCTTTTAAACTGATTTCTTTCCCATTCTCTTCAAGTGGCACTAGGTCACAAAAGACGGCTACACATTTGTGCAAAAATTATTATTCACTGTTAATTATAAAAGTGAAGGAGAGTTATCTTTTGCTATTCTTTTTTTGTGGTTAGATAACCTGCCTCCTTCCAGATAGCTGAAGCTGCAGTTTATAATGTGCCAGTCACAAAATACACAAGCATGGTGCCATATATTAAATGGTGACATGATCAAAGTGTATAGAGTTATATATAGTTTAGAGAAAATGCACATGGGATGCTTCTAGACTGTTGCTATTTACTAGTGAGAGTCAATCACAAACCAGCAGGTTGCACAATTATACTTGATTGGAAGGTCTTGTGTAACAGACCTGCTTCTTCAAAGTATCGAACGTTTGGCAACAAGGAAAGTGACAGGGAACTGCACTGGAAAGGGTGGGCAACACTTGCTTGGATACAACATTATCTAACCTTTCCACTACAGTGGGACCTCAGGTTACATATGCTTCAGGTTACATACGCTTCAGGTTACAGACTCTGCTAACCAAGAAATAGTGCTTCAGGTTAAGAACTTTGCTTCAGGTTGAGAACAGAAATCGTGCTCCGGCGGCACAGCAACAGCAGGAGGCCCCATTAGCTAAAGTGGTGCTTCAGGTTAAGAACAGCTTCAGGTTAAGTACGGACCTCCGGAACGAATTAAGTACTTAACCTGAAGTACCACTGTAACTGGGGAATGGAGGAGAAATTTGATTCATTTAACACTGTTGAACCCACACTTTCCAAAACAACATATGAACCGGAATACACATTGTGACGCAGTTCTCCAACCAAACAATGTTTACAAAGATGCATATATTGTTGGGAAGTGTGCACAAAAACAATTACATTCATGAAAGGAACATAAAAAAATGCATTATATTAGGGGGACTTACACACATTAGTGAAAACTGCATATAAAGTGTGTTTACTAGGAAAAATTTGCACTAAAATGGTAATGAATTTTAATGAGGATTTTTGTTGCAAATTGCTGTAAGATGTAGAGAACTTAATTTGATTTGTAAAAATGAGAAACAAGAGAGAACCTAAACTGGCAGATTCTTCCAACCCTACTCTCAGCAAATCAGAATGTATATTAATTTAACAGACAACATGCATATGAAATGGATGCCTATATGAAAAGTAGCTAGGGCAGTGAGGTCCTAAGACCACTATAAATGCCATTGGGTATTTTTCTTTCCAGACTTGAAGTATAAGTGTCCTAGCCACCATAAGGAATCAAAAACTCAACTTTCACTGTCCATCCATTAATCCCCATACTACAGGAATATAGTTTCAAAGTACATGAAAATCTGTAAATATCAAGGATTTCACCAATACAAAAGTGCTGTAACAAATTAAGACCAAAGGGTAGATATCACTGGAGAAGCTGACGTCATAAGAGGCATTCTCAGCATTACATCTTCCACATCTGTATTATAAATGCTTTCCTATGCAAATGTTGTAGTATGCTCAAAAGACTGCCTTTTCCTGCACCAATCTCAGTTTGAGGTCTAAAGAAACATTTTGTATAGACTCTATACCAATTTTCCATTGTTTCCATTGTATAATACCTTCTAATTCCCTGCTCCACACTTCTCCACAGAGAGCCAGTGTGGTGTAGTGGTTAAGAGCGGTAGACTCATAATCTGGGGAACCGGGTTCGCGTCTCCGCTCCTCCACATGCAGCTGCTGGGTCACCTTGGGCCAGTCACACTTCTTTGAAGTCTCTCAGCCCCACTCACCTCACAGAGTGTTTGTTGTGGGGGAGGAAGGGAAAGGAGAATGTTAGCCGCTTTCAGACTCCTTCGGGTAGTGATAAAGCGGGATATCAAATCCAAACTCTTCTTCTCTAAATTTATAAACTTCTACCTTACCAAAATCCATTTAACATGGCTTAAACATGGGTTTAGTTTTCTGTAAGTACCAAACAGTTTAAAGGTAAAGGTACCCCTGACCATTAGGTCCAGTTGCAGATGACTCTGGGGTTGTGTGCTCATCTCGCTCTATAGGCCGAGGGAGCCGGGGTTGTCTGCAGACAGCTTCCGAGTCATGTGGCCAGCATGACTAAGCCAATTCTGGCAAACCAGAACAGCGCACAGAAACATTGTTTACCTTCCCGCCAGAGTGGTACCTATTTATCTACTTGCACTTGACGTGCTTTCAAACTGCTAGGTGGGCAGGAGCAGCGACCGAGCAACGGGAGCTCACGCCTTCACGGCGATTTGAACTGCCCACCTTCCGATTGGCAAATCTCAGTCTGAGCCTCTCAGCTGGTATAATGTATATATTCCACATTCTAACCATTTCTCCCAAGACTACTTCTCTGTCTTCAGATCTGCATTACCCCTTATGGTTAATTTAATGTGAGCATATGGATTAAATTGTAACTGACAGGCCAATAAATAACATGTCTCTCTAGCTGCTAAAATAGGACAATTTTTGAAACTATTTATGGAATAGGAACTTGTCTAGTTTGCCATGGAGTTCAGTTTCTTCAGAAAATTTCCATATTTTAAAATCTGTACATAATCAAATGTACATGTGTGTACAGCTAGCACACTGCCAAAATAAGTGAAGTCTTAGTGTGATAATAATATGAGTATGGAATCTTAGGCTGAAGGGCGGGTAATAAAATATTATTACAACAACAACAACAACAACAACAATTCCTTTTGTGCAGCTTTTTATTAATATACACATATGCACTTACACATTAACAAAAATCTGGATGCAATCATATAATAATCGCACTGAGAGTGCAGCTTTTTGGCAGTGCTTTAGAAATACACACACACATTTGGTAATACAGAGTGGGGTGGAGAAGAGTCACAAATGAATTGAAGGAATCAATAGCTGTGCATTCACAGTGCTCTGAGCAAAGCTGAAAAATAAAAATCAATCAAATCATGATGGATTCAAATTCATCAGTTCTACTTCAGAAACAAGACCAAATAATTTTGACCTGTACAATCCTGGGGAAAATTTGAATGAGGAGAAAGTGGTGAGCTGTTGGAAGATGCCAGCAGGAGCTGCTTCATGCAGGCAGGTTTCCATATAGTGCAGTGTTGCTGACTGAGGTCCATTTGTTGGCAGCTACCACGCTGCATGTTAAACCATATGATATGGACCCTATGTGTACAGAATGCATATGCTAGGGTAAAATTTGCATCAAATGCATATCATAGTGAAAATAAGATATAACAATGCATTATACTATGCAAAATTGCTTTGAAAAATGTGTGTATTAGGTAAAATTGCATACAGAAATATTGGGGAATTTTGCACTAAAATGCTGGTGAGTTTTCATAAGTTAAAGGAAACTGATGTTGATAACTGAAGACTTGAAAAATGAGAAGCTGCAATTGACGGATTCGCCCATCCCTACTGAATGTGTAATGTAGTTGTTCTCACAAATGAATCCCATTGTGTTCAAGGGGACTTAGTTTATGGCAAGTGAGTGTAAATTTGCTGCTTAGCACACAAGACTGCAATATTATGCCCACTTATGAGTCTCCTTAAATTCAGTGGGACTGAATTCTAAGTAGTATAGAATTGTGCCACATTGCTATGTTTAAAGTCCAAATCTGGAGCAAAAATAGGCAGGCCAGATAAATATAACAGCTTGGAGTAAAAAAACAAACCAAAACCAAAACTGTGCAACTAGATAAGCCATGTCTTAGGGGAATTTGGTCTCATGTGTCTCAAACAGCTTCTCCTTGTGCCACACGACAAGCCTTTTTTAAATAGATAGATAGATAGATAGATAGATAGATAGATAGATAGATAAATAAATAAATAAATAAGAGACTATAAAATCTAAAAAAGGAAACAAGTCACAACATAGCACTGGTCCTGCTAAATCCACTGGGTGCACCAAAAGTGGCACTTCCCCCCTCTTCTTTTAATTGACCTTTTTTGGGTTTTGGACAGAGCAGTGATTTAATGAGCTTGCAGCAGACTTAAGTATAGCAGCAGCAGTTCTAAC